CAAAAAGTATAAAATGATAAATAAAGCTATTTGCTAACTTAAAAAAATTAAACAATCAAGACTGTAGTTGAGGTGAAAATTGTTCACGAACATCTTTTCTTTCAGAAACATTTCACCAAGCTATGGTTTTATCACTTTATTCATATCACTACTCAAGTCTCCACTGAACCGATAACCATATTGACTTATAAGAAATGACAACCTAGAATGGGAAAAAGTGTCTGGCTGAAATCAATAAAATTCTACCTGTACTAAAGTTACAAATTTCAAATCGATACTGTTTTGTTTAATCCTATGAACAGGTTAGGTCACATTGCATATCACAACTTTTTACATTTACATGCAAAGTTAAATTAAGCTACTTTATTATCAATGTAGGTCAATAAAGTATGCATAAAAATATGGTTAATAAATCAAGTTTTAATATTATATAAGATTTGTTTTCTTAATTTCAAAAGGAAATATTTAAGTAAATTCTCAACCTTCACTTCTCTGTATCACATCAATTGTTCACTTTGAATTGCCCATTCCCAATTTTCTCATCACCCCTATTTGATGTTCTGGGTTTAACATACATTGCACATTTACTGTATGGGTATTACTAAAGTATAATCTAACTTTATAGACTCCAATCTTTTTTGGCTTATGGAAAATAAGCCAGAAAGTCAAAACCACTTACCATGCCCTCCTATCACAACGTCTTTCACAAAATGTCAATAATTCTAACATTTTATCAGAGCTTTCTTATAATCAACATAAAAAGGAGATTTTGAGTTACCGATTTCCATATATGGCTAACTCATTTTAATGAGAGTGTTTGAATTACTTGATCTACAGATTTATTGTTACTATCACTGAGTCAACATCAACCAGGTAAGTGAATTATTTTATGGCACTTGTATACCTTAGTTAGAAAGCCAATTAAATTATAATAGTTACAGGACATTGTATGCTTTGTGCATGTTATTATTTTGTGTTCTTAAAAGCATATTTGAAATAAAATTATTTTATGTACTACTACCATTGTTACAAAAAAGTAGGGTTAAGTTTTGTCAGGGCCAACAAAAAAAACAGGCCTGATGTAAGTACTATATTTCTTGTTTTTTATGTATAATTTTCACTTATTATTATCAAATTAACTAAAATGTAAAAAATCAGAACCTTACTAGGTTAGATAAGAAAATGTGAATGAAAAAATTGAATAAAAATTTATCAGCAAGGTCTGCACATGCAATACATAATTCAATACCATAACATGAGCTACATATTTGCCATATTTTTTACTGCTTGTTGTGCAGTCTTAATAGTTAGACATGGCTCAGAGAACAATGAGACAATTATAAAGAAATAAAACTACATCTAAACTGTTGCAAGCTTGGGGCTGTTTATGATAAATAATTGCAACTTTCAGTTACAACCTGCAGTCATTCTAGAAAGAAAAAAAGGGCAATTTAGATTAATTTTTCATTCTTTTGTGGTGATTATGAGGTCTGTCAAATGGACTGAGTCCATGTAGTGTAGGGGTAGAGAAAGTAACAGGTAAAATATAGAGTTTTGATATTCTACATAGGTTACAAAAATGGAGTTTGAAAACTCCAAAATGAAAAAAAAAAAACATTTTAAATCTTAACATGAAAATTATCTTGCACTTGGTCTATTCAGAGTCTGAGTCATACTCTTACTCCATATATTCACAGACAAATCTATAGTAAAAATATTTAATTGAAAAATCAGAATTTTATTTTTATGTACAAAAAATTTGTAATGTTTACTAAAAGTTTGCCAAATTTCATGAAGATACACTTAATACATTAAAAATTACAGTACATATATTTACATGGTTACCTGGTGGTTGCAAGGTCGGTCAAAATGACCAAACCTGTATACAGAGAGTTAAAACTATTTTGGCTTTCCTCCTTAGCTGCTATGTGTGCTAGTTGAGGAAATTCACAAGCACTAATATTTTCATTGAAAGTTTGCTGAAATCAATCCCAAGTAAAAATTTGAGGTTCAAATTTATTTTATGTATAAAATTAATTAAATAAAACTTTCAATTAAATAAATATCAGTCACCATTGAAGATGTATTTTAATTCTCTTTAATTCAATGGCAAAATTTTGTCCTTAATGCAGGGTGGTCTCAAATGAGCACCTTACAGTTAAACATTGTATTAGTCAATATACTTAACCCTGACCACCATTTTGATTTATAACTTTATATTTAAGCATTATGCTAACCAAAATACATTATCAATCATAAACATTAAGTTAACCTACAAATTGTTCTTTTGTTGGAGGGTTCTTCTAAATTATCTGGTGAAAATAATTCAATGCCCAGTTCATGTAAACAATAATAAATTAATTCTTCCTACTTTTTATAAACTGCCTTCACTATACACAGTTGTAGGCCATCTTTACAGATGATAACTTCACCAAATTAACATAAAGAAAACACTTGTACTACTTCATAGCTGAAACAAACAAACAAAACAAAAACACACAGACTGATTCACTCTACTTACTAGAAATGACAATACTATCTTGAAACAAATTCTTGACTATCCCTCAACTATTTTCTCAATGCTATGCTGACCCCATATTTTAAATCTACCCTCAAATGTACTAGAAACTCTCATGTCAAATCCCTTCGAATTTTCCCAAACTAATTGTAACATCATCATTATTACCTAGCTAACACCTAAATTATAATATTAAAAATATAGCTTACAGCAATATTTTTATTTTAATATTATGCTAACCAAAATCCCTATTCTTAAACATTATGTTGATCTACATATTTATATTTAAGCATTACGTTATTCAATATAATTAATTCTGAACATCATGTTTGCTCATATATGTACATATGTGTGTGTGTAATTAATTATAAACATAACATTAATTAATTTGTATTTATTTATGAACATTTAACTCTAAATATTACACTGATGTAAATCTATGCCTTACTGAGGCAAATAATTTATAATAAAATATATCTTGAATTTAACAACCAAATTTATTTCTAGACATACCTTTAACTCAAACAACTTGCTCCAAGACCAAGAACCGGCATAATTTAAGTGAATAGGTAAAGAGGAACTAAATTCCTCACTACAAACATAGGTTTTTTTGGAAATAACAATAAAACAATAATGTATTGTTCTAAAATATACTTATCTGTAAACTCATTTGTAACTAGTTTAATATCATAAGACACCTTTATTTATTTATGAAAATAACATTATACTCATGATATAAAGTTGTAAAACACTTTTTAAAGCTTTATGTTTAACAGTATATACATAATTTATACTTAAAAATGTAAAGTGTTGAACTAAATTATAGCTATTATTAATAAACTGAAGTGAAGTGAACAAAAATATATTCATATATGGACAAGAGCTACAATATCATTACCTCAGGTTTAGGTTTCCAGTGGTCAATAGGGGGTTCTGGAGGAATTGGTGCTCCTTCTTGCAACAAAGCACAAGTTTCTACTTTCACTCCTGGTATATGAATTTGAATTAATTGGGATGTTTCTAAGGCTCGCTGCATGGAAGACTGGACTATCCGAGTGTAGGGGAAATTTAAGTCCTTTAGCCGCTTCCCTGTAATGCTTGCCTGTTCCCTACCTGATGATTAAATAAGATGTAATTAAATTAATAAACATACTATTTTCTGCTCCAACATAACATGTAACAGCTTCAGAATTTTCACCCAAAGCTACACAATAGCTATCCGAGCATAACTACCCCTAATTTTGAACTGGTAACCTACAGAAAGGGCAGTTAGTCAACACTCAATAACACCCATTGCCAGCTCTTGGGCTACTTTTATATGGCCAAACAGTGCACTTTGATCATTACTCTTATTGTGCATCCAAAGCCTCAAAGTGCAGAGCACAATTTATTCTTTTTTGCAGCAGTGAGATATGGCACATGAATCCTCAGATTCACAATCTTAGCATGCAAACCACTAAACCACATTTAGTCCACCATGGAACAGAGACAATCAGTTGTAGGAGAGACTTCCACAGAAACATAACACTATTAACAAGTACCTGCTAGAAGTTTTTATATGCCCATCACATCATTCCTATTTGTTACTAAATCAACCAATGAACTAACAATGATACAGAAAAAAAAAATTATTTCTCAATGATTTTCTTATCTTGTGTAACTAGTTAGTGATATTTCTGATACCCTACCCGTGTTATTTCATATTACAAAAGAATCACACCTAAAAAGTTCTGATAATGAAGTTGGATAAATAATCTTTAATAAATTTCAAAAATTTTAAAACTTTACAGCTAAAAGTTTATATATATATAGTTTTTATTACTGCTAGTTTCCTAAGCTTAGTATTAACCTAAACTAGAAGTTTTTGCTATTTTCATGGTTTTTAAACTTGAAAAAAAAAAAAGACAGCAAAATTTAGAGCTGGCCTATATTATTTCAGCATGTTTAGACTTGGAGAGTTTAACTAGCTGTCTTAAGATGTATTTTGAGGTTCAACTTTCAACAGAAATTGAAATGCATACATGTATTTTCATATTTATCTAATTGGAGTGTAGAAATCTAAAATAACCTATTAAATCAGTATATTCACAACAGTAAAAACATGTAGGATCAAGAATGTTTTAAAAAATCATATTAAAAAAAACAAATGAAAGCCTAGTGTTTTTGACAGGCAGATCTATCTTCTAAATAAGTAAAAGAAGAATGGATATTTTTTTTACCTCTGAATAAAATAAATCTGTCTGTTGAAAAAAATAGTATTTCATTGTTGTTGTTTTTTTATGTTTTAAATCAGCATAAAATTAATTCCAATAAAAACATTTCCTATATGTACCTAATTCTGTGAGCTTTGTATCACAGTCTTTGCTGACTGGAGTACTCTGACCATGTCGAATTAAGATCAGGTGTCGTGAAGCTTTGGGTTTGGCCTTTCCGTGTTGTTCATTGTATTGATTATCTTCTCCAGGTTCTCTGTTCTGTGGGGATTTTCCTAAATTGAGTGATTCTCTCCTAAAAGAGCAGTATACTAAACCTTAGACAACATAATAATGTGAGAAATGGAAGCATTGAAAACCTACAGTGACACTTGTTAATGCTGGACCCAGCTGCACAGTATACTATCTTACAATCCTGCTAACCAATAGAAATGCTCTATTGACTCTGAATCTTGTTGACCAATAGTTATGTTCTATAATTACTGAATTGGACTCACCAATGAGAAAACTGTTCCTACTGACACCTGAATTCAATTATGAAGCACAAGTTGTTCCTTTTTAAAGGTCTTAATAACTTGATTAACTCTAAAGTTACCAACTTGTTAATATATTGTTCATTAGTGGTTAGGTCCACATTATAAACCACACTGAATTATTTTTATATCTTTGCTTGTTACAAAGCTTACTGTAGAAGAAAGATACCATAAATTGGGAAAAATCACTTATTTTCTATGTAAAATACGTAATATTAATATTTGTATTTACATTTAATTTCATTATTAGAAACTGTAACAAAGTAATTCATGGACCCACATGTACTTTGGTACATAAATAGTTTAGAAAAATGTCCCATGGCTAAGCTGTATTACCGATAGGAATTACAAGTAGGAACTTACAAACACAAAAAATATATTCTATACATTTTCTGTCTATCACTGTACAATTCTTATACAATATTCCAATATCAAGATATAAGACTGTCTTCCAGGAGGAAAACATAACTTTTACATCTATGTATACCCCATTAGTAATTCTAATATGTTTCTAGTCATAACTTCTATTAGTAATCCAGCTTGGCCTTAGAATTAGTGATGCAGCAAAAAATACTTAATATCAGTATGGCTATATTTTTGTATACAAGAAAAATGATATAGCTATCATAAAACTTTGAAACATATCAACTAATTTTTTTTTCTTTAATCTCTTGGACTAATCCAATCATCTCAAATCAAGCAGGAAAATCACTTTGAGGACTGAGTTGATTGTAAGATGTTTGTTAATCCATTCCTTTGGTATTTTATGGTGACTGACAATTGCCTAATGAGATGTAAAAAACTGAATTTAATGAAAATAAGTATTAGTATATAAAATATGCTGACCTGTCCCAGTTTGAGTCCCATTTTATGGATGGTACAGAGTTAGTGGTCCATGATGCAGAGGCATATTTTTTTCCATCGAGTATTCCCCAGAGGAATCCTAATGAAATTCCACTTCCAGCAAGACCATACATTAAATGTCTTCCATTTATTACCACCATGCTTGACCTTACGTTCTACTATCTACAAGATTAACAAATGCATCATATTAATCAACTTGCAAAGCCTATAGATGAAACTCTGAAACAGTAAAACTATAAAATGTATTGAAATAATTAAGTGAAACTAGATGAGCAGATGGATATCATAGATCAAGCATAGTTCTTATAACTCTCTATTACTTAAATCAAGTATTCTACTACTGGATTGTATTTCACGAAGATACACTTAAATAACAAAAATGAATCTGGCATATTTTGAGAAAACAGCACTGTACATTAGACATAATTTCAGATGGTTTCTCTGCCTAAAACAGTGTTATCTGATGATATTTTGATTACAAAAATTCTTAGTGCATTTGGACCAATAATAAAATGAAACAGACCTGAATAACAAAGATCTACAAACTTTAAAGGTGGGCACATCTTCTTGTGGAATTAGAAATTTTACTGAAGAAGTGATAGATCAGAGCAGGCATAATTCAAAATCATGACCCTGCTAACTGGTCAGATGCTTTTGCAAACTAAGCTACCACATTTTCAATGATAAATAATATCAATGGATGATTTATTGAATTTTTTTAGTACTTAACTGCATCAACTATCAATACTTTATTCCATAACTAGTTCTTAGCATATGTTCTTGATTATTATAAAAAATTTGAATTTCTCTCCAAATGCCTACAACTACATCTTTTAGATACAATGAACTAGTGTTATCACAAGTTTCATTACATTTTTAGCTGTTTCTTTCATGGATATTTTAGCATGGTATTATTTGTTAATACTAAAGTCCCACTAAATCTGATCAATTGCTTTATCATTTTGGGAAAGAAAGATCTTATACTTTAGTACCTTTGTTTGAGTACTTCAGCCTGACTTAGTTAATATTATTAAAAGAATGAGTAATATTACCTGCAGAATTGTTTTAATATAATCATGTTTGAAAACTTTCAAGTTTTTATATAATACTTGTAGCAAGTTTTTGTTTTTTTATACAAGAGTGTTAATGCAAAACAATAAAACTTTTATGAATTTTAAACATTTAAATCACAGCTCTCCTAACTCTTTCTTTCTAAAATATGTGTATAGAGTAATAATATTTTACCTGCACTTGGTATAAAATTTAAGCACATGTATTTGAAACTATTATCACTCTTCCTGCAATGTTGCTCTAAATGTTTAAGTTTCCCCAGGTTTGGCTGTAAATGCACTAAAAAAACCAAAAAACAATGACATTTAGATAAAGTTCTTATGTATTACCTTCACAAATATAATTTTAAACAAAATAATTTCCAAGCATGTAAGATAATAAATATTCATAAGAAAGTTTGTTCCTTGCTGCCCTCTACTCTCTCCTAGCATTCTATTAGACTTCCAAGTTCCATATTGGTGAGTTAATTTGAGTTTTCATGTGATAATTAGAGCTGGTTAGCTAACTCGATTTTTTGCATCTTCCAGATGCAATATTTGAACCTGGGAATGCTTTCACTACAAGCAAATGCTTTACTGAGCTAGGGTGTTAACATACTAGCACCAACTAGTAAAGACACTTCTTAACAACTCAAACTACCAAACTCTTTTCCTTTCTCTCAAGCAAGGCCTGGTCTCAAGCCTTGTCTATTGTTTGTAGTTGGTTGCTTTTTTTTTTCTGTAGTAATCACTATGGCTAGAGATTAAATCTAAGACCTGTCTCACACCAAGCAAACTTTCTACCAACTGAATTCAAACTATAGTATTATTATAATGGTATCCCTCAACCCACAGTTACTTTTTATTTATCAATATTATTAACAATCATATGTTCTGGATGATATGTTGAAGCATCAAAACATGTAGAGTGGATTTCAGGCTGCATATCAGTCTCAAAAACATTTTTATTGTGTAAAACAAAACATGTTGCTTACTTTGTTGTTCAATGAAGTTGTCAGAAAGAGAGCCAGTAGGTCAAAAGTAAAGGAATGGTATTTAACAAAGACAACAGTCTGTGTAAATTTCTTACATATCAATTCACCTACACTTGGTTTAAAAATTGTTTTAATTTTTTCTACAAGTACAACTACATCACAAGTGTCCACGAAGAAATATATATATATAATTCATCTTTTGATTTGCAGGAATTTGCCAGTAGATCTTTACTTGTTTTATTATTTGGATGCCACCCCACAAAAATAGTTAAAAAATTTCAAAACACTACTTACTGTATTACTATAACATAAATTATAATTCTAACCTAACTTGCACTACTGACGCAACAAACAGTCCTGCATTTTAGTTGGTAATGCCAACAGTGCCATATCTGTAATAATAGCTGGCTAAGAACTCAAAACTTCATCTACAAAGTAGTCGAACAATTAGACTCTGTCGTTTTACTTTCATCGTTTAGATGTTTTGAAAGTATACTGAAAATAAAATATTTATGATAAGCAGACTAGTTATAAAAGATTGAATATGGAAAAATATTTCACCATCGCTCAGGGCTTATAGTTATATCTTTCAAAGTTGAAGACGAATGCTGGCTAAAAGTAAAACTACTAGTAGTAGTACAATTACTATTAGTAAGTGCAACAAAACTGCTCTTAATTTCCACTCATGTCAAAGTTATTAAAATATTTGAAATAAAACAACATATAAAGTAACGTACATATAACAAGAACCTTCAATTGAGAACACTTAACCCTATGTCATACAACGGATCCAACGACTTCAAGATATTTTTTGTCTCTACCAATAATCATTAAACTGACAGTCCACACTGCACTCAGTGTATAAACAGGTCATTTGTAAATACATGCTTAGAAGCATTCTGCAAGTTCGTCTTAAAGTGTAATAATTACAAAAAACTCATTATAAGGGCTAATAGTAATAATTACTTAGGAACTGACAAAATAACGTTTCGTGTTTTTTTTTGTTGTTGTTGTTGTTGTTGTTATGTAACTAGGATTGGGTATCATGTATTTGTCAAACTAAAAGTAAAAATAGATAACTTAATTCGGATAATCATAACTTTCGATTAGAGTCGGCTATGTACTTATTCTTTACTGATTTATTGTTTGTTTGTTGTTGTTGTTTTTTTAATTACATGTAAAATTACTCGAAGGTTATCTGCGGTAACCGTCCCTAATTTTGAAATGACAGAATAGAAGAAATGCAGCTTGTCAACATCACCCACCACTAGCATTTGGGACACTCTCTACCAATGAATAGTGGGATTGACATTCACTTTATAACGCCTCCGCGGCTGTAAGGGCAAGCTGTCATCGTTCATACCACGTTGAAAGCATCGGTTCTTGTCTAAGGGCGAGCATATTCGGGGACGAGAGTCATAATACAGAAAAGCTTTATTATAGCAAGCCAATTTTGATCCTGGAGCAGGTCGTGAACCACGGTGTTAATAAAAGAAGACATAAGTAAATAATAATCAATGTTTAGGAAACGTTTCTTGTGTATGAAAACAAGTAGGTGTGAAATTTAACTGACAAACAGCGATTTATAAGCATAATGAAGTAGTTTTATTTTGGGGAACATTCTATTTGTTTCGACAGATTTTAACACAGTGTCTCGCCAAATATTGTTTCACTGATACTAAAGGAAGCGTTAAGGTTCTGTGTTTAATTAGCAACTAATTAAAGTGAAATAGAAAGAAGTATCTATACTTCCATAGAAAAATACATAAATATTGTTACGACAACGGTAGTCACGTGACGCTGGTAACATGTCATGATATTCTAGAAGGATCGGGGAACATCACGAATAATCCAGTATGTGCTAAGCGCCCTCTATTCCTGTATATAAGTGCGCCGGATAACGTGAGACAAATTAATCGGAACTGAATTACAGACAGGCAGAGATAAAGACGAACAATTGAGTCAAGCGCGATAGTGACCGTAAGGAAGTGCGTGAATCATTGTGAATTATAGCGTGTGTTTAAAGTGACTGTAGAAATTAAGTGTATTGCAAAGTTGAATTCAGAAAGAATAAATTAGTTTTATATAAGAAAGGACTTGTATCTCTGAAGTTCCTCGGGAAGAATTTATACCGGGAAATTAACAACGAACACAGAGACGTAACAATATACTGGATTTTAACCAGAATTAGATGTAATAAGTAATTTGGTATGTGAATCATACCAGAGGTTTTATTAGAAGATTGGTTTGGCTTGTTTTGAATTTCGCACAAAGCTATACGAGGGCTATCTGCACCAGCCATTCCTAATTTAGTAATGACAGACCAGAGGCAAAGCAGCTAGTTAACACCACCCACCGCCAACTCTTGGTTACTCGTTTACCAACGAACAGTGAGATTGACCGTCACATTATAACACCCCCGGGAATTTATTGGATGAGAATACCACTGAATGATTAAATTTAATATCATGATCAGTATTAAAGTGAATTTTTTAAGCAATTATAATAGATGTTTCAGCCCATAAAAGCGGGACATCTTCAGGCAATGTACGACAATTACAAATTCAAAGTGTACTGTTTTCTCAGCTGTGCTAGTGCTTAATTATAAATATTTAATGTAGGTGACAATAATTATTCACAAAAATATAAAAATACGTTTAAAAATGTATTATAATTAGTAGAGATAGAGAGGAATTTCAGGATGTTTGCTTAAAGATGGTTTTAATTTTCTGATTACTACAGGTTATATGATTTTTGTTCTATTTGTATCAGTTACACTTCTTAGAACTTTAATGGTTTCTTTTTATATATCGAGCATTTGACTTCTTTTAATTGATCAAAAACGTAAAACGGTCCTCTCAAGTGTTCTTGCTTTCAATTCTAAAAAGATAACACAATTAAAGAAGCAACTTAGTCAAATTTTTAACAGAAAAATACTTAAATCATTTCTCTGGGATTATTAACAACCACGTATCCAAACAATACATAAAACTTAAGAAAAAGTATCAGCAAAACCTGAAATTTTGAAACGCTAAAGTGAAAAACCATACATCATCAATCTATCCATCACAAAACAAAATGAAGCTCAAACTGCATCCTCAAGCAAATGATTTAATTTAGCCACGACCCAGTATGAATTGTTGATACAATGTTGTTTTATCAATGGTGGGTTTTTTTTAAGTTATCTGGCGAAAATAATTCAAAGTCTAGTCCACGTAAACAATAACACGCTTCAATCTTAACATCATCATTACAATGGATCAAATTGAAATAAGTCTGCTAGGTCAATTGATATTGTTGCGTCAGTGAGGTCACGTGACTAGTGTCACGCCACCTCTCGAACCTTCGGGAATAGTCGGGAGATTACTAGATATAGGGTAGACTGGTATATATATAAGAGAGT